AATAAACTCCCCCCCAACTTAAAACAGTTTTTAAAAGAACTCTTAATACCCAGCATCCCTTTTATTTTTTATCAACCCAATGAAATGACTCAGACCAAATGTACATCGGTTGTACAAACAAGTGCTGCTGGTGAAACCAACATCTGATGCAGAGCATGTCTGCAAACAGATGCTTTAAAAATACCGTCTCTGGGTTATGATCCTTCATCACAGTCAGCCTAAACTGACTTTATCCTCATTATCCTCCTGTTTTTACTGTGGATTGATCCGACTTTTAAAGCTGTAATAATAAACTGTAATAATACCATGGGTTTTTAAACATTAAGTAAACAATAAATTGTATGCTAACTTCTTTCAGAAAAAGAGGTTGAGAAAGTCTCAAAGCCCCGCATAAAAAGGATTTGTTGCAACAAAAGTGTCTTTATTCTTTTCTAAAAGAAACCCAACAGATCTGCCTTTATCTAGTCTCTTATGTTCAACTGATATGTTTCACTGACTTTTACTCCCCTCCAACGACGCCCAACAACTTCTGCGTGGGAACCTCCTGGTTCTCCTGTTTGGAGTCTCTCTCCTCCTGGTGTCCAGCAGTCCAGTCCCAGTCCAGATCTTTGAACGAGCTTCCCCTGGAGCGTCTCCCCTTGTCGTCTCCACTCTCCTGATCTGGGAGCGGCACAGAGTGGACAGACGCCGCCATCTGTGACGTTTCTCTGCTGTCTGACAGGAGGATCCCACTCCCTGAGCTGTATTCACTGTTGGAGTCTGCACCTAGAGCAGCGAGGAAAACAAACGCAGAGGGGGTGGGAGGGGGATGCACAGATGGTGAGAAGACTTTTATAAACAAGCCCCATATGAGACGCAAAAGACTGTCCAAAACGCTCCACGCTGGGATTCAAGGGCAAAAAAAATAAAATAATAAAAATAAAATCAGCATGATGTCATTTAAGCTGCACTTTGATTTTAGTCCAGAATCTCACACATGCACCTTTCTACAGGTTTCCTTTTATTTTCTAACAAGTGTTTCTTATATGCATATAGAGGGATATCCATACATTTCTCACAAATTAATTCACTTTACAAGGTTTCACACAAAAAGTTGTTTAGCATAACTTAGGTTCAAATTAGTTTTCTCAAACCTGTTAAAGAAATGCTTGTTTACACTGGTGTTTAGTACATCTAATCTGTTATAGTCGTTAATAAACGTGAAGTCAACATAAGCAAATTGTGAGTTAATAATTTAAATAAAGTTGTCTTCTACACAATGAATACACACTGAAGTGGCTAACTTTTTCTAATCCTCATTGTAAAAAATTAATTCACTTCAACTCCCTGTTTATGTGCRTGTGTAGACACGTTTTTGCTACATCATGGGGATCATTTTCCAGAAAAACACAACCTTGTGGGTACCCATTGCTCCTCATAGGGACCAAAGCCTGGTCCCCACAGGTATGGATGATGATTTTTGGGTGGGGGTTTAGGTTTAGGACCCAAGTGTGAATTGAGTTCAGGCTAGATTTAGAGTCAGGTACGTACTGGGGTGGTTAGGTTTAGGGTAAAAGGTCAGGGTTAGGCTATTTAAATTAATAAAAAAWTAATGGAAGTCAATGCAAAGTCCCCATGAGTATACAAAAACCAACTTGTGTGTGAGTGTGTGTTTTAATGACAGCGACTCTATGGCATTTCTTRCTTGTCACATTTTCTCTGCTTGTTAACGAACTATGAGAAACCAGCTTCAACACCTCGGGCCGTTACTTAAAGTCAGAAACTGAAAATAGGCACTGAGGTGTTGTTAATGATTCGATGAGCTAAAGATTTTTAATTGGATGGGATCACATAAGCAGCCCAAACACTTAACTCCTCACTTACATATCTGGAACGGAGCTTCTTTCTTTCCTTTTTTCCTTCTTTCCTTTTTTCCTTCTTTTTCCTTCCTTTTTTCCTTCTTTTTCCTTCCTTTTTTCCTTCTTTTTCTTCCTTCCCTTTTCCTTCTTTTTTCCTTCCTTCCTTCTTTCCTGCCTTCCATTTTTCCTTCC